AAAAAAAAAAAAAAAAAAAAAAAAAAAAATAGAAGAAAAAATGCCAGAAATTAAATAACAGTAAATGGCCCTACTACCGCTAGGCCTACCTTTTATTTCTTGGCCATCGATGTAACCTTGCCTGCGATCAATTGCGTGTAATACTGGTCTTAAAATGTAAGCGTTTTTACCAAACTAATTTTTATATAATTCATTTACGTTTACATTTCTTTTCTTAGATTATTCAAGCATTTGCTTTCTTTTAGTATAATTTTTTTCTTTTCTTATGAATAACAAAGAAGTTTTATTTTTTTTCATTTATTTTGCATTTTTTTTTTATCAACTATCAACTAACGTATATTGCTTAGCAGCTCTGAAGCGGATTCCTAGGCTTTTCTAAGTTCATTTTTTCTTTCCATTTCTTTATTTTCTTTTTCTTATTTTTTTTGTTTTTTTTTTTTTAATTAAACCTTTTAATGCATTATCTTTAAACGTTATTAACACTTGGTATCTAAACTCGTACTAAACATTTCAATGAAATTTAGTTAAACGATTACCCATAGAAGAATATCACGTACTCTCTCTATTCCTCGAGTTTTGAATGTCTCTCCCACTGTAAAATCCTTTACATGTTTTCTTCAACGTTTCTTTCTTTCTCTCGCTTTTCTCTCTTTCTCTCTACCGTTCAATGTTTCTCTTATCATCATTTACAGACATTCTTTGCGGCCACGTGTGTATATGGAGGCAAAAACACTTGTTATATGCAACATATAATATATTCATCATATCTGCACTCGAAACATATAGTTATACTAATTTCGCAGGTTCGTTTGCAACGAGCTTTTCCATCGCACGCCAAGCATTCAAGAGCGTACAATGAAAGCCACAAAATGTTTATTCGCATGCTATAGCTAATGTCGAACGGAATTTTAAATCTAGATTTAAAAAGATAGCCGAAAGCACGAGACTTCCCAGGCGGTAATATTTCGGAACAATTGATAGATAATTTTTGAAATTATCTCCGTCTTTTTTCGCTTAACACCAATAATGCCATGTTAACTAGAAGAAAGAGCGTCTTGATCTGCAATATTTTCATAATGAAATTTTTTAAGATATGACTTCGCAAAGAAACTTTTTCTACAGTGTTTTTTTTTCCTTTTTGAAGCGAAGAAATTTTATTGCTTGGAGATAAGAATAAGCTAATATTTCTCGAAGCTGAGCTTTCGTTCCAGGTTCCATATGCCATTAAACACCATACATATCGCCATACTTTCTTGAACAGTGGTCTTAGTAGTATTTCTCACAATCCTAACGGGCGTTTGTTAGAATTTGGTTAAGAATTTTTCCCGTTTTATCATCATCCGGTGTGCTAAGGAGTAACGCTCTCTTCGCATCCTGCAAGCGTTGTCGGTAATTGGAAAACAGCAACATTCGGAGGAAGATTCATTATTCTCGCTCTATTGTGCCCCTTTTGAAGCATCAAGGTTTTAGCTATATTCACTATTATCGATGAATTTTTATCAAATTCCATAAATAAAATAAAATTTCTAGCATTGCAACTCCATTACTGAACAGGAAGCAAGTGTCAAAAATATCATCCAGTTTTCCTCGAGCAAGCAAAAGGAGTCATAAAGAAAAAGTGGGAACGTATTCTCTGAAATCATAAAAGTTGTGAGGTGGTAAGTTAAAGCTTGAAAACCTGCTCCTCTTTGATTTAATTCCGCAAATCAGATCCCAAAATAGCTTCCACTTAACCACGTAAGCACAACAACTTAAAGGCGAAAGAAAAATTGTAGCATTTTTTCATGACCAACCAATCAATAACTTGATATTTCCTTTTTTTTTATAGCAAACTGTCTAACAGATCTAATTTGTTAATGGTGGCGTTAATAGGAAAACTTTTTTTCATCTAAAATGCATCATAGTATGAGATATTAAGATATTTTCAATAGATTTGTGACTTTCGAGAAAACAAGAATCAAAAGAAGGCTTAGTAATAATACCTCTACACTAAGAAACTTTAAACCATGGTTGTTCGAACCCAACCCACCATTCAAAGACCAAACATTAATGTTTTTGCCGCGAAATTTGCAAAAAAAGGTCCATAAATCAACTTTGCAAAAACAAGCGCTTACAAGATAATTCAAAAAAATGGGAATAATAATGAAAAGCAAATAAGAAAATAAAGTTCATCTAGAAAAGGACCAAAAGGATGCGAAAACCAATTTAAAAAAATTGGCAGGGCTTTTCTTCAATACCAACCGTTTCAGATATTTCCACTTTTAAGTCGAAGAACCTAACCTCTCTTTCCATCCTTCGATACTTATACGATGAATGTTTGATCAACTAAGAGAAGAAAAAAAAAGTTTTTTTTATCTGCGCATTCCTCACTTTCGGACTCAGCTGTTGACTTGATTTTGCTTAACGTTTACATCTATGCTTCCCTTAGAAGAAGAAGATTTCTTCTTAACTCTTCGATTGTTCGCTTAATATGCTCTCCAAGCCTGATTCCAAACTCTAGATCTAGATAGGGCGACACTAAAAACTTAAACGACGAATTTTCAGCAGTCACAACTGTATCAAGCTAAGCCAAGTCAACTCAAGTCAAGCACATTTTACGAATTATAAAAAAAGACTTTAGTTAGCTTTAAAAATATTGAGCCTGGTAAGAGAAATAAATGTTTGAGATAAGAGTGAATCGACATGTTTTATAGCCACTTAACCTTGTTTGTGAACGCGGTCTCCGTTGAAGAAGAATGATGAATGAATATTGCAACCCGTTCCGGAAATGTCTAATGCGTTCTCTATTACTAGTAGAAAATTTCGCTAAAATATCTGAAGAAGGATTCAATATCTAATATTCGTCTTAAGCCAAAGATAGTTTCCGTTAATTGTTTTCTTGTTTACTACGTTTATGAATTTTTTGTTTATATTTTTATTTGTGAAAACAATTGTTGTACGCATGCTTTACGCTTAAAAGCTTAATGGAATTCAGTTTAATAGGCGCGACCTTTCTCCCATTTTCTCTCTCTCTCTCTCTCTCTGCGTGTATGTATGCAGATACATATAAAAACTTTTAAGGTGCATGTTGGTCTTTTAGCTGCCACCACTTTTTGTTGCCGGTGTCAATGCACCTGTTATGTTCTATTAGTGGTTACATATAAATATTTATTTATTGTTGTTATTGCTTGAAAACAAGTCGCATTCACAAGTCATTACGGCACCAGGCTTTTACTTCCTTTTGTGATATGTACGCATATACAAACATACATACATGCATATATATGTATATGGATATGATATGAAAATGCTTAAAACTGAGAAAAGTTTCCCTTTTCTTGGCACACTCTTATTGTAAGATTTGTATTTCATGTTCATAATTGTGCCATTATAGATATATCTTTTTTAAAATACCGCAATTATGCAATTGACATAAAGGGGAATTAAAAAAAAAAAAAAAAAAAAACTAAAATGTTGGATGAAAGTTTTCAAACATTGTTTAAATAATGCAGTTCACTTAAAGAGTACGATATATGCGTAAAATTTACGAAATGCTGGCATAGATAATATTCAAGTATAAAGGTAAATATAAAATTAATAAAAAAATAAAAATAATCTTTTTTTTTTTTGTTTTTGCTTTTGGTTCATTAAAGCGATAGCAGCTACACTGATCACAACAAATGCAAATCTTCGAATAGTGGGAAGCTTTCGGAGGTCATATGTAATTGTAAGATGTTGACTGCAGTAGCAGATTGAATGAATAAATTTCTCAAAGATCCATTGATAGGTAGTATGCGACTTTACCGAATTCTTTCAACTTCTTTGGTTTTCAGTGTCTCAGCATTGTTTTGGATACAATAGCAGAGTTAGTTTAGTATTAAATAATTGTCTTAGCGACGTGTTCCGATCCGTTTAATGCTATGAAGAATTCAGTGATGCCGAGAATTAAAAAATAGGAAAGAGTAATGAAAAATTCTTCTATCTATACTAGCAATAAGACCAGTTTCCAAATTAAGTTCCAAACTCAGCTTACCCTTACTTGTAATTGTGGCTGATGTGAGTTCCAAGCTGAATCGTTTTATGCCATGGAACAATAGTATGACAAGGCATATGACGATTCGGTGACATTTGCTGCTACACTTAACTATTGTTCAATAAATCTTTATATTGCGAAATTTTTTGATTTTTGTAAGCATTACATTAACACCCTTTCGGATAGATTTGGAGAATTTCTTACGCGCCACCGTATTTAATGAAACTAAGATTAATTCGATTCAAGCTCTATTACTACAACTTTAACTTTATTGCGGAAATGCCTCTAAAATAAAAAAGAGAGAATAATAAATTATTTTATAAGAGAATAAACTTTTTGAAGTGTTTAATTGCATTTTGGAATTTTTTTGATTAATTTGGCGCAATCGGATTTGTTTAAAGCAATCCAACTTAATGTCAATAGAGACTAGTTGATAATGCAAATGTTCTCGCAATAATCCTTAAATTCTTATTTAACAGAATTGTAGCGCAAATTTCTCATTTAACAGAAATTCAGCGAACATTTCTCGTTTAACAGATACGCACCGATTTTGTCTCAGTTAACAGAATTGCATCGATTTTTTTCTCACTTAGCAGAATCGCAGTGTTGCAATTTATTGAGAGCAACTCTGTGCTCTCTCCAAACTCAATATACGGTTGTTTATTCGATTATTTTACCGGAAAATGAAATATTGTTTATATATTTTTATGTTTTCATTGGAACAAGTGTGTTTGCCGCCTTATTAATATGTATATGATATTCCCCATTGCTTTTTTACACTCTGCGGATTTTTTTTTTTTTTTTTTGGATAAAGCAAAGTATAACTGCATGTATGTGTGATCTAGAATAGAGAATGTGTGATAGATGCGCAAATATATCAATTATTGTTCTTGCACGCAGATTGTGTGCAATAGAAATGGGAACCAACATAAGCCAAAAAACATATATGAACCTATGAAGCAACCGTGTATGTATGGGTTGTTTATACAGTTAAAATGATATGTTTAAAGTTTTTATATTTTTCGAATAACAGGACGTGGGTAAACTATAACTCATTTGTATACTATTTATTATTAGTGTAGTGTTAATGGTACCCCTGTCGATTTTTGTCGTCAATTTGCTTTTTAAATTTTTTTTAAGATCTCTGCAAAAAGTGCAAAAAGTGCAAAATCCGCCTGAGTGGCCGAGTATGCAAGAGTCTCGACTAGCAACTCATTGGTCGTGAGTTCAAATCTCAAGTGCGGTAGAGTTTTTAATAAAAGCCGAAAGCCTTAGATGCTAGTGCTTTAAGACTTTAGTCTTAGAATTTATTCTCTGGCTAAGTTTATAATAATAATAATAATAATAATAAAAGTGCAAAAGAAACAGAATCGGCCGGTACTTTAGGTTAAATAAAAAATTTCTTTTATGAACGAAAACAAAAGCTTTTATTGATACGGTAAGCAGTTACATAATATATAAAAAACACCGAAACACCGTCGTATGTCTATAAAGTCTCCTTTTACAAGCCTGCATTCGAAGGTTCAAATTTCCGACAAAGCCATATTCGAGTATAGATATAATTGCAGCCCTATGCGTCCTTAACTTCCCGACAAATATTTGTTTTTAGATAGTAAATCGTTTGTGAGTTACACGTATAAGCTTTAGTTTTGAAATAAGCCCAAAAAATGTATCAAAGTTTACTATCTAGGTCGCCATGTGGCATCGGGATGTATTTTTTTTTTAAATTACATATATAATTAACAATCTATCCAAAAAGACAATAAACAAATTCTCTATCAGGACGAGAAAAATAATATGGGTTATCGTCTCTAAGAGGCAGCATGTAATAATATACATTTTACGTCGATCTTCAACCAGCCTACGACTGCCTATTGGAGCGATCCGCGCAAAACATGAAAATATTGAATCGAAATGCTTTTCTTACAGCATCTTCATTCCTTTAACAGATTCGGTAACTGAAAGGTTTGCGTAGTAAGCTACCTGATGCAAACTTATTTTGATTTGGCAGCGATTCACCAACCGACCGCTTTTTGCGGTTCTTCAACCTTGCGGACGTGCATGCCAGCCAAGCCATGCTGCACCGTTCCGAGCATGTGATGATCCGAAAGCACCATGCCTGATAACTCTTGCAACAGGTGCCCAATATGTGGCATTTTTAAACCTTTGAAACCAAAACCGACAATCGGAATACGATGGAGCAGATTCACCGTAAATTTCCGAAGGTGTTTCGTGGGCTTCGATACTAGATTTCCTCAAATCAACAACAAAAGAACGTAGACGTACGCTAAATAAATCAATAATATTAAATGGAAAACTGTTATTGTATGTAGAGGAAGGTCAAAACTATCGAATTCAACCATTACGTAGAGCCTCCCGCCCAAGTAGCGCAACTATCGCATTCGCAACATGCACCATTTACAGCCTAACCTTCTAAGCTACGAATTATTTCGTCTGTAGAATTTCGACATTCTTCGGGCGAAACGCCCCCAACACCTCTTTCATCCGAAAGCCGTGCTACAGCGGTGCGCATACAAACAATTGGCGCTTCAGATTTTATACCAATTCTAGAAAAGACAGTTAGATATATTGCGGCATAAGTGCTGATTAATGACAATAGTAAAGATTTTAGTGGGTCAAAGCAACCGATGGGATACCGTAGCGATAGAGGAAAGTGTGCGTTAACTTAAATCAATTTCCGAAATAGAGTTTACATCTCGAATAGGATCTTTGTTTAGAAGTTTGTGTCATGACACATGGGTTCATCTCAAATGACGAAAATAGATTACTACACTATGATGTCGCCTTGACTTCACTTAGCATCACATCGCACCGTTAAAAGTTTTGCAATTCATTTTAAGAAAAGGATTGCGATAGCCAAGAGAATAATTAATAACAATTTTTATATTCACTTATCATAAGTTGCACCACCCCAAACCAAGCCACTTGATCAGTTTGTAGGCGTTGTGCTTATTTGGTTTTGATTTTCATACCCCGGTTAGAAGCAATCAGATACAAGTGACATAACTATGGTCCCATCATACAAGATACGTAATTTGAAAGTAAACTAATTTCTGACGAATAATTTTTCTTTCAAATTTATGCAACAAACACAACTACAAAAATCTTATATTCTAGTCCTCTTCGGATATTGAACCGAAGGCCTACTTGTATTGACACTATTTCTCCGAGGTGAAAGGCTTTTTTTTCTTTTACAGAAGAACTGACATATTTTTCGATGAGTAATTGATTCATTCAAACAATATTAAGCAGTAATATGTCAACAAAGAGTTTTTGAAAATATTTGTCAATATATTTTGCACCTTATAAAGTGAAGTTGGAGAAAATTTCAGGTGTTCAGAGTATTTATTAAAATAAAAATAAGAAAATGAATAATTCGGTTCAACTTGCTAATCAAACGCAGCGCAAAAGCAATCAAAACGTGCAAGTTTACGTGCGCATAAGACCACTTAATGGGCGTGAGATTATTGAGGTTGTCTCGCCCAAGGAGATTGTAGTGCATTTTCCTAAAGAATCGAAATTAACCAAAACATTTACATTTGATCGTACTTTTGGTCCGGAGTCCAAGCAATTAGAAGTTTACTTATCGACAGTAGCGCCACTTATTGACGAGGTATTAGCTGGCTACAATTGCACTGTGTTCGCTTATGGGCAAACGGGTACCGGCAAAACGCATACCATAGTGGGTGAGAAATCTGCTGAATTGAAATCCGCATGGAATGATGATTCCGATATTGGCATAATACCACGAGCTTTGTGTCATCTTTTTGATATATTACGCACGCTGAAATTGGAATTCTCAATGCGTGTTTCGTATTTGGAATTATATAATGAAGAGCTTTGTGATCTGCTATCCTCGGATGACAGCATTAAAATACGTATTTTCGATGATAGCACAAAAAAAGGTTCAATTATTATCCAAGGATTGGAAGAAATATCTGTTCACAGCAAAGATGACGTGTACAAACTACTTGAGAAGGGAAAAGAACGGCGAAAAACGGCCACTACTCTAACGAATGCTCATAGTTCACGCTCGCATACTATTTTTTCGATACTAGTACACATCAAAGAGAATGGCTTAGATGGCGAAGAAATGTTAAAAATAGGCAAATTAAATCTAGTGGATTTAGCAGGTAGTGAAAACGCTATTAAAACGGGTAATGAAAAGGGTACACGTGCCCGTGAGATGGTGAATATAAATCGAAGTCTATTGACTTTGGGACGCGTTATAAATGCTTTAGCGGAACGTGGCCCGCATATACCATATCGTGAATCTAAATTGACCCGTTTACTGCAAGAATCGTTGGGTGGCCGCACTAAAACTTCAATAATAGCTACTATTTCGCCCGGCCTTCAGGACATGGAGGAAACATTAGGCACATTAGAATACGCTTATCGAGCTAAGAATATACAAAATAAGCCGGAGGTTAATCAAAAACTTAATAAGCAAACTATTCTTAAGGAATACGCCGATGAAATTGATAAACTTAACCGTGATTTAACGGCAGTACGTACCAAAAATGGTATCTATTTAGCTGAGGAAATCTATAATGAAATGATATTTAAAATGGATTCGCAAGATCGTGAAATAAATGAGAATGTACTGCTAATGAAAGCCTTGACGGAAGAATTGCAATACAAGGAAAATATATTTAACGAAGTTAGTTGGACTTTGTTGGAAAAGACTGAAGAATTGAAAAAGACCGAACAGCATCTCAATGAAACTGAGTGCGATTTATTGCAAACTGAAAGCATTTTACAAAAGATCCAACGACGTTACGTGGAAAAGAGAGTTATTGTAGAATCCCACATGAAAACTGAGGAAGTATTAACCGCCCAGGCTTCAAAACTACTGGAAGTGGTTGACGTAGCCATCCAGGATACGCAAGCTTTACACGACACCATTGATCGACGCAAAGAAATTGATAGCAAAATACAATCTGTTTGTGAAAGATTCTCAGAACGCATGAATAACAAATTCGAGTTAATGAATGAAGAATTGAATGATCTAAAAATGCAACATCGAAATCTTACCCAGACTCTCGGTGATGAGTTACCGACCGCCGTTTCGCTACAAACGCAACATATAGAAAAAGTTGAATTAAACGTAAAAGACTTCAGTGAGTTATGTGAGCAATCTTTGACTAAGGCTTACAATATTATTGATGATTTTACTGGAAGCTTTGACGACTTGAAAAGTGAACATAAAGAGGAAATTTTAAAATTATTGGAAATACTAAAGCAAAGCAATATTGGCTTTGTTGAAAAAATCAAAGAAAATTTTTCTCAAATCGAGCAATGTAACCAACAACAGAAATTAACTATCGACCATATGCGCAGCGATATTACCCAAATTTTAAATGAGGGGCAAATCAAACTAGAAACGCACACCGAACAGTTGCAAAACAAAGTTGAAATCATAAAACAATGTACGGAAGAAAATCGACGACAATTTCTAAAAATAAATGAAATTATGGAGAAAGAGCGTGCTTTGGAATGTGAGGAACAAGAAGTGCTTGAGAAATTTCATAAGGATATGAAGGATATACAAGAGCGTCGGTTCGCTGAAATGCTTGATATACAAAAACGTCGTTGCGCTGAATGTGATGCTATGAGCACATCCGTGGATACCATAAGCACAACTAATCAGAAATTCTCAAGTGAATTAGACAAGAAATCAAATTTGGATTTTGAATATTTAAAGCAACGTCAAGTTGACTTCTTAGAGCACCGGAAAATAGCAGAAAATCATAGTGCTGAAGTGGAACGACATGCTGAACGGAATATGTCGATGTGCGCTGCTCTACTGGGGCAGTTAGACAACATGCACGAGAAGAGAGAACAACGATTGCAAGTTTTCATGGATACTCATGACTCTTACACTCCGCGTATGCAGCATTTAATCAATGCTTATGAGAATCAAATGAAATGTTTAAGTCTGGAATCGTCTAAGCAAGCGAAAATATCAACAGATCACTTAAAGCAGTTAACAGTAGAAAACGAGCAACATCTAAAGAAGCACATTACGGCAGCAGGTAATTTGAATTTGACCGTTGAGAATGCTTTAAAAGATTATGCAAAAACGTGTCAGAAAACAATCAAGGCCTGTGTGAATGATATGAACGTTTTTAAGGAAGATGAATTGAAAACTTATACACCGAGTGGCTCGACACCTTCGAGAAAAGAGTTTACCTATCCACGCGAGTTAGCGGCAACATCGCCAGACAAACGTATTGTCGAACGTCTCCACCAGGAAATTGATTGTTCAGATATCGACGCCACGATGCCTATTGAAGAGGAAATATTCTTAGAGGACGATCATATTGAAGACTCAATGCAACTACTCTCAGACACTCAGACAGTCGTACGCAATTCCACACTAGTTGACGCGGAAGTCTTACCGACGAAATAATTTATCTGCCAGCGCAGCGTTGTAATTGCAAATAACCAAACAATAAACCAATTAACGATCAGTGACCATTCGCCAGGTAAACTTTCGCTGAATAATAACTCGCCAAGGAAAAGCTCACGTCTTAATCGTTCTTATTTAAACAAACATAAAGAAATGCTCTATTTTTACTTTCGTAATAAAATAAATAGTTTCTAAAACTCTTCTAATATAATGTTAAATATTTGTTTAAAATTCTTCTTTTCTCTTATTTCCTTTTCGGACACCTTTTGTGACATTTTCCGTTAATTTAATTTTTTTAACTTAAAGTCAAATTTTTATTAAAGAATATATTTGAATGCAGTTCAATATAAAAATTTCAGTGAGAGAACGTAACAAAACAATCTATATTTTAATGTTGAAATTATATACAAACTAAGTTGCCTCTAATTATGTACCGAATGGATCGAAGCAAGCGTTTGTAAATAATGAGCGTGCATCGTTCTTATTGAAATGCAACAGAAACAATAGAAATAAAATACAATCTTGTACATGAAAAATACGGGTTAATAAAATTAGATCATCTTCAGGAAAGTGTTCTGCTCTAGTATTCATTACCTCTTGTCTATCTCTTTATATGGTGCCTAGGGTGCCTGCAGGATTATTTAATGCAGTTTATAATATTTGAGATAAGATTTTGATTCACTTAAAAATTCAGAATAACTGTGTTGGTAAAGTTACGAAAAATATTTTATTACACAAATTTTGAAACTCAGTTTGGAGGAGGAATTTGTACTTTTAGATGTTAAAAATGGAAGGAGAAATCTATTCTCTAATCGAGATGTTAGCAATGTTAACACGTCCGCGGACGTGAATGCTATAGCATTCATTTTCATAGTGATGCAAAATGACGTGAATGCTACAGCATTCAAATTTTAAAGCCAATTTTTGTTCATTTAATTTGCTATAGCATTCACGTCATCCTAGTTGAGAAATATAATCTATATTGTCGTGGATGCTCTAACATTCATTTCATATAACAGTTAAAATACGATGTTCTGACTACTCTTGTAATATATGTAAAATCAGATTTTGGATATTACAACTAGTTTCCAAAATAATTGCCTGTCTATTTTTGCAGCTCCCTGAAATTTTTAATGTCCGTGAACGTGTTAGTGCATTCCTTAAAAGGAAAGTATATCTACAATCAATTTTACTAAGCATGAAAGTTGTTCGTCCATATGTTGTACAGAAAAACGGTAATTTTAGTTAGTAATAAAGCCAACATCTCTTTCTAGATAACCTAACGAATTTTAAAGTTAAAAGAAGCATCGCATTACCTACAAAATTCTTAATTTTAATTTTATTAACTTTTGATTTTTATTTAACACTTCTTTACAATGCATCTTTGCCCTGGTCTTCTTGAACAGAGGATGTCCGTTGCAGATGAACATTATGCTGAGGCAATTTTGTACTTAGTATAAAAGGAAAAAAAAAAACTTCTAATTAAAGCAAGATAGGTCTATATTAACTAAACACTTTCAAGATTCTTTGGGTAAATCGACTTGTTTAACAAGTTCCAAATTATCAAAATATCTGTGGAGCATTGCGTTTTTGGCTGATATACGCCCATTGGGCTCATAAATCATCATAGCCTGAAAAGTTATTTAAGTATTAATTAATAAACATTTAATGAGACGGTGATTAATAACCTTGAAAAGTTCATAGGCTTCATGTTTAACTATTATGTCGGGAATATTAGGTTTTTCCCATTTAGGGAACTTTCCTTTATAATCGGGCAATTGAGTTACACCCGGCCAATTGCTTTCATCTGGTGTACCCAAAGTTCGAAATATACGATATAGTTGATCAATTTCACTGTCACCGGGGAATAAAGAACGTTTCATTATCTGTAAGTTTAAAAGGATTTAAAAAAAAAAAAAACGAATAATAATTCACTGAGATTGTTAACTAAAGAAAGCTATTACCATTTCTGCGAATATACAACCTAAACTCCAAATATCCATCCCGGTACCATAAAATTTTGTACCTAATAGAATTTCGGGTGCTCTATACCATAAAGTTACTACCTCATGTGTATAAGCTCGCATTGGCATATTAAAGGCTCGAGCCAAACCAAAATCCGCCAACTTAAAAATATGACGCATATAGAGTATAAATTAATAGCAATATTAATAATAATGATAATAATAATACACTATTTACTTTAATATTTCCTAAGGTATCTACTAATAGATTTTGAGGTTTCAAATCGCGATGCAATATGCGATTCGTATGACAAAAAGCAATTGCATCAAACATTTGAAACATATACGACTGAAACGAAAGAAAGAAAAAGGAGAGTATTAATGCCCTTCAAGCAGTATTTTCATTTACTACCTTTACTAATTTGTTTGTAAATATTTCTTTTTTTTTATCCATAAGTTTTTTCAAATCCATATTTAAATATTCGAAAACCATATACAAGCTGGTGTCGGTAACAACAACATCAAATAACTGCACAATATTATTGTGATCAAGATCTTTAAGCAACGATATCTCGCGTATGGCCGTGGATGGGACACCTTCAGTTTCACTAAAAATCGAACATATATAAATGCAATTAAACGAGAATTTATAAAAAAAAAAAATAATAATAATAATAATTACATTTATTCAAATTACCTCCGGTTGTTAAGTTTTTATCGTAAGCATGAAAGAAGATATTTTTTTATTGTATAAATTTATTTAAATACAAAAACTTTGTTTCACTTTACGTAGTCCATGTAACTCATTACAAAGCCGAATCATGTGGTGCTATGAGATATTAAGTTTAAATAATTACACAGCACAAACATGGGTCCGGGCTTCGTTAAGAGTCTTTATTGCTTTTTGTAAGAAATCTTACATGGCTTCTTAGTACACAAACGAGTTATATATACGCATATATATATATATATATATATATTATATGGCAACATTCAATTCATAATCAAGCTACGAACAAGGATATAGCAATTTCTTAATTCCCTAATTTCCAATCTTTTCATCAGCACCCGCTTATGTATGCAAATTTGGAAAAGGAAAGTTTTAGTCCAATTCATTCCCCTCAAAACACTCGTCCCAACAAGTATACGAATTAAGTCAACATAAGATGTTTATAGCGCTTACAGACCGCTTATAGACGCTTTGGTTATTATTTTTTGTTTTTTTTTTCTTTTAACTACTTTATCCACTTGATCCTGTTTCGCTTTTTCACACAACGCACACAATCATTTGTACTGCAGTTACGCTTACCTTGCCAAACGTATTTTCTTTAAAGCCACATCCTTGCCAGTTTTCTTGTCGCGCGCTTTAAAAACGATGCCATACGTTCCTTCGCCAATTCTTTCGATCCTTTGAAAATTATCTACGTCATGCATGCTCAATCCGCCCTCCTTAATATAATAACGCTTGACTTTTACCTTAACTTTACGATTTTAATTTATATTTTACGAGTTTTATATATCAATTTTCTTTCCTCCTTTCCAAACCATATAACCATAATTTTGGGCGCATTCACACAAACACATAAGCATACACAAACAAAAAATAAAACTATGCAACCGTACTAATCGTTATCGAAGAAGCCAGTGAAGTTTTAGCGATGGCAAAATTATTATTAGATAATCGTATATCAGAGTTGCATTACGAGATTGAATATCATAACAAAAACGTAGTCGATTAAATTTCTCTTATTATTATTATTTTTATTTATTATGTTTGACTTTTAAGCGAAATATGGCAATGATTTAATTAATAGAGGTTCAAATCGTTTGTAGACACTCTAAACCTGTGAACTTTTTATTTTCTCCGTGGAATTTCTTCGAATTGTCGCGAGAGCTAGAGTGATTATTACCTCGTATTATGTGATTGTTTTTTTTGTTTTCAAGTTTGAGAGTAGCACTCAACAACATGGTTGCAAAATTGCATATCTCAATATAACAAATATACAGTTTGTGAAGCCCTGTCGGTGCAGTGCTAGTTAAACTTTAAATTTTAGAAACAGTTATGTATTTTTCATTGATATGAAATTTTAATTTTGTTTTCCATTTTTGTTCACGCGTCCGTCCGTATTTATTTTGCAGTTAGAAAGCTTCAGTGAGATAAAAACCTGAAATTTCACCGAAGTATTCTTACTTGACAGCCACTACGTGAATCGGCTATAACAAAATCCGTAAAGGCAAAAAACTAAGCTGGCTAAAACTGAGCTAACTACTTTTTAGTTACAATGGAAAACGAATTATTAAATCTTGTAAACTAAGCCTTTCGGCAAGTAGAGAATTTAAAAATTAATTTTACAGAGTAAATGAACAACTGCATGCGCGGTTCGCATATTAAATGATAACAATAACAATTTCTCGTAAGCAATTCATTTGTGTCTCAATATCCCATTAATATTCCTTTTAGAAAAGCAACTAAGTTTATTGATATCTAGGAATGCAGTTAGAAACGGTGTATTACGCCTTTCCGAATGTACCTAATATCTGGAACGACCACCTTCTATTACACCAATGAAAATCATCATCAGAATTGGTTCAAGTTTTTCTTTCTATTTTCTATAGTAGTTGGCTAACTAAAGTTAACTTCTTTTTATATTCTCTTAAATCACACGGGCTAGACTTATAAAATTGTATTTAGACTCATAATGTCGTATAATATGTTGTGATAATGCAACATAGGTCAGGCATTTTTTTACTGTAGCGGGTGCAACCCGGGTTCGTAATGGCTAGAACATGTTACTCGGAAAGGTTGAAGCGTATATTAACAGAGCCAAAATCAAAAATTCAGTATGAAAGTCTTTATAGTCTGGCTACAAACACATCCACCGTAAGCAAGGTCTCCTTATGACACCATGATAATCGATTAAAAAATCAATATATAGTTTTTGAATGGATTAAGCTTATTATATATATAACTAGGTGAGATATTTAAATTATTGTAATGCGTTTAAGAAGGATTAACTTTGAGATTCCATAGCTTACAGAGCATGAGAACGAGTATTGATGTAGTCATCACCGTTTTATAATTCTTCCCATATTTCCCATATGTATTGAAGTTACGATTACAGTATAGAAACTTGCTTTCTTTAGTGCTATTTCAAGCTCAGCTTTTAGTTAAATCGAAAGACAAATTAATTTGTAATTTGCATAAGAAAAAAGTATTAGAATTTGATCTTATTCTTATGTAATAATCATGTCATTATATTCCCATCAGGTATGTTCTAACACATGAGATATGTTAATCATTAAGTATGTACGTGTGAGTGTGTGTATGTGTGTGTGTCACCCTTCAAACTCATTAACTCGATCGTAAATTTGTATCACATTGTTAATGAAATCTGTTGCAGTAATGGCTAGGCATGCTTATGCTTGCGTAATGCATCAGCCTTATGAAGCACTAAAGTAGTTATTAGAAAATTCGTTTTAAGCCGTTCGTAATTTCTATTATACCCACTACCGAACATTGGCATATATTCATTTTCTCAGAAGATTCGTGTCGAAGAAAGAGGACGCACCAGAGGCTCTATGATGTATATATATTCACGATAAATATGAAGTTATGAATTATCTTGTAGGCATGTTTGTCCGTTTATCTCTCTGTACATGTATCGGTCCACTGTAAACATAGTTTCGATTGCAAATATTAAAACAACGCATTGCTACAGATTTAGTAGAAACATTTCAAGCTGTGTCATCCTGTGTCATCCTGGTGGAGATTGAAAACAAGCCAAATCGATCGAAGAATAAGCACACAGAAGAACATGGGTGTTTTGCTGAGTGCTCCTAAGTTCCAACAACCAAAATTTCTATATTCTACGAGCGATCGTACAGTACTTTTACAAAGACAACAAAAAAAACCACATCTGCTCAATGAAGCAGAGAATTAAAATTTCATTTTCTTCGAGTTTTTTTTTTTTGGACCCAAAGATGTTGGGTGTAGAAGAATCGGCTAAAGCCGAATATAAATTTCTTACTTGTTTCATTTTGTTTTTGTCTGTCTGTCTGTATAAACCTGTCAAAGATATTATGCATAAATTAACCAAATCTAGAGTAGCGCGTGTGGTTGACAATGATAATAATGCTGGGTAGACCGATACAATGATGTGACCGGCGGCAGAAAAGTGTTTGCAAAAAAAAAAAGAAAAGAAAAGTGAACAAACGTGTAATAAATTTGTTAAATAGCTTAATATATAAGAAAAAATTATAAAATAACGAACAAATTATAAAATAATTTAAAGCGCAAAGATTACAGGCTTCTCAAGACGAACCTTGAATGCCCATCAAAACATCAACCATTGTTTAGCAAGAAATAAAAAATAAGTAAAGAATAAAATTATTTGCTTACGTGCAACATCGTAGCTAGTAGTGGTTATGAAAAATAATGCCTTCGTTTGAAAAACATCAGAAAGGAACGTCTACGGTAAGCTATACTTATTTCGTTTCCATTTACGATCGGAGGAATGATTATAGAACAAGCGATATGAATATGATTCATTTCAAAAAGGTACATATTATAGGAGTACAGTCTTGGATGCGTATTTTAATCTATGTCAAATCGAACGATAAACTTAATCTAACCCGCATCCGTATCTAATCCGGAATAAAAAGTTGAAAGCTTGTCAATTTGATGCCAACACGTATACAGACACTTTGGGCGTTCGAGCTGCAAACTTGGCTATCAATAATATGAAATAAAAAGTCATTTGAAATAAATAGGAAAACTATATTTGCGCCTTAAGACGAATTTTAGACACCTAACATACGCAGATCACGTCTTTCAAACTTACAAGCTTGTCAATGGGTTGTTTAGGACCATTCGCCCTTCTTAAAAACTGCTAATGACCATTCGAGTCATTTTAAATCAGTGTCGGGAGGGGGGGCAAAAATGAACGGGCAGCTCTTATCCGTTTGCACAGTGCATAACGTATGCCTTTTTTTATGAATACAAATACTGTTTTTTTTTCGTACCCTACGTACGCTGCACGCTTGTGGTAGAAGGATATACTAAGAGTATGCGGATGTACGCAACACAGAGACGGCCTTGACATGTTTATTACACCAATCAATTGAGAATTATTTTCTGAATCGATCTAAGCTTAAAAAATTACAGGGTATATTAAGTTCGTACGATCTTACGCAACACGCACCTTTTATTATACCGATCGTCTTGTCCGTCCGTCTGTCCGTCCGTCTGTCCGTCCGATAGCTGCCCTTGTACTTTTTGAATTTTACTTACAGGTCGTAATTTTTGAGATGTTGAGGACGCTTGCTATTCTCGCACTCCCCATATACCGCCTTATGATATTTTTTAAAAATAAGATTAGAATTAAAATGCCGTTACATAGAAAAAAGTTGCAATTTTCGCGATAAAACTCGTTGATTGATAGTAGTTCAGCATTCTAAACTAATACGAAAATTTTGGTTCGGCTGGGGCAATTTTTTGAACTCCACCTGATGTAAGCGTTTCTATGAAAACTGAATCTTTTTGTGGTAAGAACGTGTAATTTTCAATATAAAAATGATGAAAATTGCCGCAAATTGACAAAAAAAATCAACCTTACTTAATTTGAACTACGTAGGTCTAGTTTTCGGATGCTATCGCATATAAGGCTTTTCACGAAATATGCCAAAAATGTCTAATGTTTCATAGTGAAAATTCGTTCATGATAGTAATTTGACACAAAAACGAAGTGTATCAAATTTTGAACCACATGGATCTTGGACTCCATTTCCTATACGAGTTCTCATGAATATAGCAAGCCCTTCAGAAGAAGGTTTAATTTTTCATATTTTATGATGAGAAGTCGTTCATAGGAGGTCTTTTGGAAAAAAATTAAGGAATCTGAAATGTTTTTAAATAGCTTTGTTTTCCAGTCTTTTATGATGGAAACTGCAAAATAATAAAGTTTTTAGGTAGTAAAGGAAGTTTGCTAAATTTGCATTACGTGAAGTAATGTTTTGGGCATCCTTTTAGGCCATTCCCTGAAAATATTGCGTAGGTTTTGGTTATGGCTGTGCTAAATGAAGTGATGTAGGATATCTAATGGTCGACCTTGCTTGAAAAAGTCCTTACTTGTTTTTTTTTTGTTTTTTTTTTTTGTTCATCAATATAAATGTTGAGTGCGAAATATTTATTTATTTAATCTTTAATAAAAAAATAAAGAAAATTTGTATAAAAGTTTTTTTTTTCGTTTTTAATAAAATAAACTAATTAAACAAATGTAGAATGAAAATATCTGAAAACGTTTGATTTAATAAAAAAAAAAAAGGGGAGAAGCGTACTGTTGAATTGCCGTATCGTGTTATTTTAAAAGCAAAAACTAAATTTTTTCTTCGTAATGTTTATTTGTTTACGAAATGCAAACCCGTGTACGCCTGAA